CAGGCGGAAACGGCGTCAGAGACCGCGCCGCGGCCGGGCGCCCCCGTCCCGCCGCCGCCCGGCTGCAGAGGGCAGAGCCAATCACCACAGAGGAGGCGGACGTTAGTGAGAATACAGCTGTTTTAATTCAAAGAGCAGCTCGGTATGTTTCCCGTTTATTATACGTGGTTGCACAATCTGAGGCTGGTTAAATACAATCAAGTTTTCGAAATCTCTCAGAATCATTTCCAGGTTACAACATGCAAGTGACCATGAAAATATTTGGCTTTTTACTTTATTCTTTAGATTTCTGAACAGGCACTTACACGAGGGAGTTAAATTTGCTCTCAGAGATATCCACGTTAGAAGTACCCTAGCATAAAGTACACAGAGGCTTTGTCTGCTTTATCAAAGTGCCACAGTAATAACACAGTTCTTACAGAAACGTAATTCAATTATTTACTTACTCATAAAGTAAGGTTACCAGTGACACTTGCACCGGAGTTGAGAAGTCTTGGTTTAAAGGCCAAGTGAACCACAACCGCAAGGAGCCTTCCACGCAGCAGGCGTCGTTTTATACCCAAGCCACGCATCTGGTAACAGACTACGTGCTCAGTTGTGAACAGATGAAGGCCCACTCCTTTAAGCTCTTTCCTCAAAACACTAAATGCCTACGAGATGATTAAAGACAAACGATCTGCTGTGCCAGACAAGCTTCTAACAGTTTTAAGGCCTGCCTGGCTTCAAAATACCTTTCCAGAAGACCACAAAAAGCTCGTTTGCCCTCATAGCAGGCCCAGACGGACTAGGAGGAGGATGCCCTTCGAGGACGTTTTGCCTCTCTTGTCAGGACAGCGAGGAGACAGACTGTGAAGACAGTGGAAGCGTGAAGCCAGGAGGAACCACAGAGTTTCATGTATTTGCAAAATAATCGTCACCAGCATCTATTTCATCAATAAGAGATAATTACGTTCAAATGGTTTGCCCGCTCACCACCTGAAGGTAAAATGATGACAACATCTCTACAGTCACTAGTTACTGGGCAACGAACCCCCAAAAGTCAGGAGTGACTCACGTGAAAGCCTTAGAGAAGTACGGTAGAGAGCAAATTGGGGGAGGGAGGGCAAAGATGCTTCCTAACATTCTTTGCTACTGACAGATTCAAAGCTGCTTAGAAACCTTGGTAAGGTGTCTGAAGGCTCCACAGTTATCATAGTCACAGTGCATATACATGCAGTTTCAGTTAAACCCTGTCTAACATAGTAATTAGAAGTCTTAGGACAAATTCACCATCAACCTTGATTTTTAGTGTGATTTAGTCAATTGTGTCTTACTGTAGTTTAAAAACAAAAACAAACACAAATAAGCAACATTGGAAAGAAACATGCAATAAACAACATGAGAGAAGGGAAATGCTTTAGTCTACACTGTATAAGTGATCAGCAAAAAAAAAATCAAATATACCAGCCTACCATGCATGGAAATAACTAGATTTAAGCTTATGCATATCCAAGTGCATACAACATCATCAAATAAAAGTTAATGTGCAGTATAAAATAGTAGCTTAAGAAAGTTCCAGTGTTTGAGAAAGCACTTTATTTTAAATGTATATACATACTTGAATGTTTAACTGAAGAACGCTTTAGTAGTATGGTAAATGCAGCACTGCAAGATGAAGGAAGACAGTTGTAATGGGAATTTTGGCCTTCTTTTCCCACAGGCTGCTGCCATCTTTAACCTGCTGAAGCATCACAAAGTTTTTCACCTTATACCAGTTCACATTTCGGGTTGCTCAGCAGATGCTTGTGATTCTGGAGACTCAAATCGCTGGTGAAAGTTTGTTCGTTGTTTCCTCAGCTTCTCAGGAGCTTTTCTCCATAAAATTATTTCCTGTTTGAGGAAGCAAACACTTTTGAAACCACCATTTACCATTAAGCCAGCAGAATCAAGTATCTTAAGTTCCTGATAGGCAAAGACTTTGGGGGGTGGGAGTGGGAAACACCACAAAACACCTCTGCATCCCCATTACTTACAGAATAGTGCAGGACATACGGAAAGTAACAGAAAGATGACACAATTAAGTTTACGTATTTAGTTACTGCCTGAACACTTTATCGATCTTGAGCAGTCACCTCTTCCTTAACAATCCTACTCCCCACTCTAATGGTATTAAAGTGTCCAAGAAATTTTTCTTCCTCCCTTTCTCAAAATCCAAAGCCCATCCATAGCCATTGTATGCTCCACCTACCTTTTGTTTTCCATATTTAATTATATTGCTTTGTCTATTATTTAGAAGGAAGATTCTGATCTAATCCACATAGGTTCATTCCAGTGATGCTCTTCACTATTCCTTTCCTCAGCATGTCCTCAGCTTTCATTATGTTTTCAGTCAAATGTCTTAACCCTTATTATAATTTTGCAATTTTGAACTTGGGCTAATTCTGGGAGGGGAATCTATCTGCAGCAGTTTAAGCTAGCAAGCAAATGCATGCACCCGTTACTCATTTTACCCACAAAGTGTTTTGTCTGGATATTCACAATGCGAGGTTGTTTTGTGGCACTGAGCATCCTATCCTTGCTGAAATAGTACCCACCACACCATCCCCTTGGCTCCTTTTTGCAAGCTAACATTTTCTATACAGTTTCCAATACATTCACCAGCAGAAATGCTTAAGCCATTACTGAAGCACAGGTGGCTTCTAATGTGTTGAACATTCAAAGCAGTATGCACAACAGCCCAGACAGTTCTGCAACAAGACTGACCATACCTGTTGTTTGAAGTATCGTCTGTCTTCTTCATCCACAAGCACAAGATTTAAGAAGTACCTCACCGAAAATTTTTTGTTCACATCCCTCATAGTTGGAGTTGGGTCATAGCCTGCTAAGAACAGTCTTATAGGAATCGATTCACCTTAAAAAAAGAAAGTTGCAATTAGTTCCTTAAAACTGGTTGTCATTAATGCAGTTTCAGAAGACATACAAAGTAAAGGCAGTTTCCCAAGCACTGTCTGTGCCCCCATCCTTGGTTTAAAAAAAAAAGAAAAAACCCACCACAAACAACACTGAGCACAGAGGCAAGTGTGAAATCAAAAGTGGGAACACTTTCTCAGTGGAAGCATGGTACCCAGGCAAGACAAAAGGATCAGTGTCTTGAATTCTCTAGAGGTGGTCTACACCATGGAGTCAGGTTTGAACCGAAGTGATAGAAGGATCAGTCATAGAATTTCCAATGGTAAATAAAGGGTAAGAATTACTAGGATCCCAAGTGAAATGCCTTAAGTCGATGAAAATATCTGCTTTGAATAGGAAAATCCACTATCATTTCAGCAACCCAAGGCAAAGCATGCTTTCTCCAAGAAAAATTTATACAAGTCATCTCCTCTCCTCCAGACTTTTTTTTTTAAATACAGTTTTAACTCAAAAATGCTTACCCTTTAAAACAAGGACAGTTATTTACCTTTAACTGGTGCACCATCCATTATTTCATACTTTGCAATGGTTTCAGTCTCTGTTGTGGTACTGGGTCCTGGTGAAACAAGCTTTCTGTGAGAACACATGCTTCAATTTTAAACATTTACAAAGCTTTATCACAGCAATTTCTACTCCGCAGCATTTACATTACACAACACTGCATTTTTTGCTTTTGTCTTGCATAAAAGTTACACACAGCTAAAGCAAGCAAAACCCTCTCCCAGGCAAAGCATCTCCTTCTTACTCTCTCCTCCCCACGCTGACACAGAAGAGGCAGTAGCCAGCCCTTCAAAGGAGCCCTGGGTACGCAGGCTTTAAATAAGGGACGAGCATGCAGGGTAGGACTTGTGAAACAGTTCTGTTTAGCAGGCAGTGCTAGCGACTGATACTTTCGGCCATGATCAGACTAGAAACCTGATGGGTTATCAGCCAGCACAAGAGCCACCTTTCTCCAGAGCCTAGGATGAAGAAGCCAGAGTACCTAACTTAGCCACAAAAGCCAACAATAAAGTAGAGCTTTCTGCCCTTCCTCTGTTGCTATGGAGGCTTTTTCATTCTCCATGCAAGCAGCTCACTGGGGCCCCAGCCACTGGGGAACAAAGACACGAGCCACAAGCTCTTACTGCCTTCCTAATTCAAGGGCGTGCAAGCCTGATCTGCAATAATCAAGGTGTTTCTGCCTCAAAGCCTCTTGATATGCCCATCATACCAGTTTTAGGCTGACTGAAAATGACACATTTCTACAACATGAGAGATTCACACTAATCTTTACCAAGCCCACTTTACCAGCTAGTATCGGCAGAGGCAAGGGGGCCTTCAGGATGCATTTTGCACCTTTTCCCTTGCTCTTTATGTATCAATGCTGCTTAAACTGCTGCACATTTATGCACGAGTTCCATTAACAATGGTTCACATTTGTGAAGCTAGCCCAACATTTGCAATCTGAGAACAATGCCACAGACCTTAGGTGAGGTTGACTACTAAGTATGATTACCAAAGCACAAAATGCAAATGGTAGTCAAACACCAGTGAGAAGGAAGCACATGGAGCACCAGTTTAGCCAAAGCTGCAACTATTGACTTCACTCTCCAGGTTTGCATAAGGCTCAACAGGCATACAAGCTGCCACTTCTTTTGGACTTTGTATCTCTTACCAATTCCAGTAATCTCCTTTTTGATCAGCTGCAACTCCATGTGCTGAATTTTTATTCTCACTAAGAGGAAATAAATTTTTCCAACAATCACATCCTTTAAGTGATACCTTTAAAAGAACAGAATGGGGGTTTTCATTAAAGAATAAAGACAACTTTTACACCTTCTTGAAAACACGTTATACAGGCAATTACCTTATCTGGACTGTTAATTACTCAGAGCTTGCTTCCGCACTGAGCTAAGCCTCTCAGCCAGAGCAGTGCAATTAGCACCTTTCCATCACTGCACTATTAGTAAAGGAAGTACTGTAGTTATATTCAAAAAGCTTAAATGCAGAAATCAAGTCTTAAATATTTGCTAGTGACCTTCCTACTAGTACTGAAGGCAGAACAGACAAGTATTCCTCAGAAAAAGACCCACTGTGTAACTAGTAACCAAACAGCTCAATACAATAATCATTGAAAATGTTGCTTTACATTTTAAGTCTCCAGATGCCAGGTTGTTCATCAAATATTGCATACTCTACCTTTTTATCCCAAGATATTTACCTGAATGCACTTTGTTCTAAATGGCACTTACTTTGACTTGTTGTATTCAAACTCTATATGAAGACAGTCTTCAATGCCTACTTCCATTTTAATGGAGTTGTTTACATCTGGGTACGTAGCAAGCTGGTGAACAATCAGATCATATTCTTTCACCAAGTCTGACAGCCGTCTCACTATTGTTACTTTTAGAAAATACCTACGAAGAAAGCCACCAAGTTAGCCATAATTATTCAGAATTGCATAAGTAAAAGCCCTTAAGTTCTGAAGTACACATATTCTTTGAAAGATGAGTACATTCTCTTAAGACTAAGCAGAAAAGAATAAGACACCAAAATAGAAGACAAGACACTTATAGGTGGAAATGTGGAGGGGGGGTTGATTGGTTGTGTTTGTGGGTTTTTTGTTTGTTTTTTGGTTTGTTTTGTTTGTTTGTTTTTAAAGGAGAGCCCTGGACTGTTTTCACTTGATTAAACTGAAAGAATTTGGTCTACACAAACACCACCAAGCAATTCCAAATAAAGTAGAAAAGACTACATTATAACACAATCTTAACAACTCCAATCAAGCCACACCAGCTACTGGCTGTTACGTGTCCGATTTGAAATCCAAAAGGAGGAAGCGGGGGAAGGGGACAGCATAATTGCTACATTATGAATTTGCTGCAGGGGCGGAGGGAAGAGAAGGCTTAACAGTTACAAACCTCAGTCTGACGTTGGCACCAATGTAAGATTCATATGGCTTCTCAACCTGCATGAATTCAAAGTCATAGCTTCTGTTTTGGGTCAGTTCTCCAGGTAAGGCCAGTTCTTTCACTAAGTTTACAAATTCATGAGTATTGCTTTTGTCATTGAAGAGCTCTAAAGTTGAGGAAGTTAAAGGAAAACATGTTTCAGTGTTTCTTTTTAGCAAACAAAATTGCCTCTAATTTTGCAGGAGCAGGTGGGAGAGGACAACAGAAGCAATTAATTTAAGTTGCACATATTTGACCAAATGTTTTATGCAGTTTTTCAAAGTTATCTTCAGTTTCAGCAACCTACAGTAAACATTCCTTAAGAGCTAACTGCAATGAACAGAACACGTATTTGAAGCTTCACTAGCATGGCATCTTTTCTTAATGACAGTGTAGCTAGCTTCAATAAGTACTTCTTGCCTTGCATTCTCTGTAATTAGCACTGCCCGATCGTGGCTTCCAGCATTTATTGCTGAAGGGACAAAAATCTAAGCAACATCAAGACTGTCTCATTTAGAACAGGCCAGTGATCCCAACTGGTATCTCGCAGATCAACACCTATATGGTTTATTATTATTACTAGTCTACAATCAAATGGCTTATGACCACTGGTCTCAGTTAGTCATTTGGAAACAAGTTCTTAATACACATGCACAGACACACCAGTTTCACAGCAACGGTATCCCCTGTCCCCAGAGCAGTGTTGTCATTATTCATCCCTAGATCTATGTCATGCAATTCTCACCAAGATAAAAACTTAGAAAGTTAGAAAAAAATTAACATTACCATAGAAAAAATCCAAATGCTTTAGTATATAGAAACAATCTTCTCTACAATTCACAACTGAAAATATCAGCTACGAACATTAGTGGTAGTTGGTTTTACAGAGGCTGAAGCTTTTCAGAAGAGAAAAAATGAACCAAGCGCACCAACTCCACAGTTTATCATTGCCAATTTGATAGAAACCAATACTATCTAGTAACTTCTTATTTTCTAATATGACTACAAATTATCTAAGGTGTACTTTGTTTGCTATAGCAAACATTTACATAATACAATGTTTATTTACTATTGCATATCCAATACTTTTTGTGCCAGTCAGAAAAGTTGTACTCTGAAGAGCTCGTTTAAAATATGTCTTTGACATGCAGCTGGAGCTAGTCTCCAAGCAGCGCAGAGACAGATCACACTACTGGGATGCTTTTTGTATTACTGTATTAAAACTTGAACGGATGCAAGAAAACATGGACAAGTACAAAAAGCAGTAGCTTAAACCAATTCCGCATAACTCTGCGGATTTCTAAACAGTAGCACAACGGAAAGTCCCAGAAACACACAAAATTCAAGAAATACTACATCAAATTAAAGTCATTCAGAGAATAAAATTTATGCAGAGTAGATGAAGAACAGCCTATACAGCTATTAGAGGACAACAGACTAAATGAAGCTGACATATGTAAAGTCCATTTTTCCCTCCTTTAAATGCCTCATTCCCACCACAATGCTGCTTTATTCTGAAAGTTTGCTTTTACAGTCCCACCGATCAAAACCTCAAAGCATAAAGCAGCAGGCATCAGAACTCAGTCATACCTGCTACGTAACAGTTCAGACATAGGGTGCTGGAGCCTACTGACTGATCAGAAATAGAGAATTTGTGAAATTCCAATCCAAGGCAATTGTATGAGGCAGAAATTTGAAGACTTACTTCCAAGGGGAACAATAATGCAAACAGCCCTCTTACAGACGGAAGGAATTTTAGCATCAGCCTAAGGGTGCAGAAGTTCTTGAGTGGTAAGAAGTTTGATGTCATCAAGATTCTTTATAGTTCAAATCTAACCAGACTTAGATACAGTTATAAAAAATTACATTTTTCATGTCAATACCACATTGTCTTGCTAAAAAGCACAGAGACCCTCTGAAGCTTCAATACTATTTTATGTTAACAGTATACAACCATGTTTTAGAAAACCAACGACCAAAGAATTATTTCAGAAGTGTTTTCCTATAGGCTGACCCATCATTTCTCTTCTATGCTTCTTCTCTTTCAGAGCCAGAATTAAACGACAAGAATTAAGTCTGTCACAGTACGTACACCTGGCATTTTGGCTTGGAACCTTAAATATAGGCAAAACAAGGCACAAGCAGAAAAAGAAAAAAATTACATCAGGATCATTCATCATCTATAGTCAAAGGGAAGACTGTGTTTTAGTTAAAAATGAATAGTCTGAAATATATGAAGCAGAAACCATGTGTACCGTAGTCACAAGTTTCGTTTTTAGAAATCTCTAGTGGTTCTTAACCAAACTCTTAACCAGTCTTGAGACAGACAGAATACTCGCCATCCCAGTTCCCCCTCCCACGTACACATCCTCCCTCCCAATGATTTTCTGACTAGCACAAATTAGTACATCACTTGCGTTAAAATGATTAGTATATAATCTTCCTTTGGCCCTTGTCATCCACTAACCCGATCAGGTTGCAATTTTTGAGCCAAACTGCTGACACAGTCAAAAGTGCAAAGTTCCATAACTCACACGCACCTAACATCCCTTTTATAGCTTCAAAACTCACCAATTTGTCCTACAAATTCAATTCTAATTCCTTGGTGCTCTAGTCTCTTCCCATGCTGCTTAAACGAGACGTTCACCTACCAAGGCAAAAAAAACACCGGTTAAAACTTTTCAACGCTTTCACTCCAATACACAATGTTATTAGAAAGAAAGTACGTTACTACATGCCTATGAAAACCGAGACCTCTTCTCAACAGCACTCTCTGAGCTTGAACGCAACCAAATCAAACAGCTGATTAGGAAATTAAGCATTACCCAGGTGCCACTAAAGCATTTAAGAAAAATCTAATCATCCACGAGACTGAATTTAATACGTAAGCTTGAAACTTTTGAGTCCCAAAATAAAGAATCTAAGCCAGAGCTTCAGTAGAGATCGCATAAGCCAGTCATGACCCCCTTGCCATCTTTGAAGGCAGAGAGCTTCAAAGCATCTTCTGACAGTCACATTTGGAAGTCCAAAAAAGAAATGCGTTCCTTTCAAGTCAAGTGAACTTAAGTCCCTTCCTCAGCAGATAGCTAAGTATTGGTGTTAGAGAAGTCAATGAAAAATAATGGATAATGAAGCCTACTATCAAGATCTGCATTTGTGAATTTGATTCTCGCTATCAGACCTTGCCTCGCAAGGAAAGATTCCATTAGGTTACTTTCTATGGAAACATGTAAATATTAAGCATATATAATGTTTCCTTATGAAGTAGTGATGACCAGAGAAATTCCTGTACCTTAAAATCCAGTACATCGTTGATATCTAAGTAGGAAGTAAACCACTTGAATAATCTATCTTTGTGGTGAAAAGAAGGAGAGGTAGGGGGAAGTTGTCCAATAAATTACTGGTCTTCCAGACCTCCTCATCCCACTGTGCTTGTGTTAGCCAAAACTCATCAGGCACCTCTCAGGTGTTGCTGATACAAGCAAGAAGTGCTCAGGCCAGTGAACATACAAATGCTAGTTCCCTCAGTTTTCCAAGTTTGAGGCCCATCTTGTCAGAGTTCTACATCCATCAAACAATCTTTCCAGAGAACCAAGATCTTAGCATGGAAAGATACTCAGTGATAATAGGGCGGTCAAGATCAAAGTAGGTATTTAGAAGTCAATCTCAGAACCCAATACCTGGTTCATGTTTCTTGGAGGAAGAGCAAATCGTAACAGAAATATTCAGAGAATGAGAACGGCTCCAGTAAAACCAGAGTGATGGCAAGGAGTTCCTAGGTGCAATCCCAAAAGCAGAGGAATCCCTCTGGCACTCTCAACTTCTTTCTTTTTTTCCCAACAATTTGGAAAACAGTTCTTGTCAACTCCTGTTGACTCAGCAGCCAGCTGCACTTAATATGTTGCTCCTCTGATGCAATTCCAGAAAACAATTCAGGGCATGAAACGTAAGTCTTAGCTTACAGGGTATGTAAAGCAGGTTGGCTGCACCAGCCAAAAATTACTGTGACATGTGTCAGGTTGTGGATTTTGGAGTTCAAGGGGAAGGGGAAGCAGGGGGATCCAGCCTGGAATAGTTTTCTTATCAGAAGCAACGATAGGATTGCACATGGTTGCACAAAAACCTTATTCATAAATACAAGATCACTGGAAACAAATAGCTACTATTCAAATCGTTCAGTCTTACCTGTTGCCTGAATTACTATGGTTAAAAAGACCATATATAGGAAGACATTGAAATTACAGCTCTTGCTTATATCAGATTTTCATGTAATTTCCTATATGCATGTGCATGCCAGAATCAGTACAGTAATTAATAGCCACTGTAAAAAAAAAAAGAAAAAATTTACCTTTCCTGAAACAGATTCTCCATCATAGAAGAGAAAATGCTTTTCTACTTTACCATCTTCTGTTTTGATTTCTGCTGTTTTTCGTGTTTCAGCATCATTAAGAATAACATCAATCTCACAACCAGGACCAAAAAAGCCTCCAAGAAAACTCTGGAATAAGAAGAATTAGATAAGTTACTACACAGCAGACACTCAATTTTAAACGCAATATTTACCTGCAGCCGTACACTACACATTGGTCAAAAACATTTGTGCTCCCATGAAGTTAAAGCCATTATGTATTAGAGACCCAAGAAACAGCGATGATAAGACAGCTGTCCATCTAGCAAATAATTGAAATCAGGTCAGTAACAAGCAGTAACAGCTCTTACAAAAAACAATGTTTATTAAAAAGTACACAGTGTAATTACCATTATTACTACTACACTAAAATACTAACAAATGTTTAAAACATTACTGTTGCAAACAACTTTGGTTTTTGTCACTGCAAAGTTTCCAATCACTGATTTCACTTCAAAAAAACTAATAATTTTTAAATCACACTTAAAAAAAAAAATCTTTTTAACAAATTTATTCCATCTGGTTTAGGATTTCAGATATTATGCCAAAAACTACATGTTGCTTTATACCCACTCTAACTCACTGCATAAACAGCAGTAACAAGGATGATCAGAAGTAGGAGGAATAACAGAGCAAAGTAGGGTGAAAAGGAACAACAACAGGGGATGTAACACAAGGCCTAAAGCATCCCCCGGGTTGGCGAAAGGGAACAGGAACTTCTATTTGCTGCCTCTTCCTACGCCCCATAGTTCTCTTAGCCAACGAAGAGAGCACTAGCAGGTTCAAGAGGCAGTGGTTCTTTGTACAATCTATGTTAGCTACACAACTCTGTCATCAGATAGAGTGGATGTTACAAGTTTACCCATAATACTGCTCCAGACACCAATCCATTACAAGCATTAAATGTTTGTCCTCACCTTACAACAGCATTCTCTAGGCACGAACTTTTGACCAGCATCAAACACCAGAAACTAAGAGAGACCATCCTTTGACCTCACACAAACATTTCTTACAAGAAATTGCAAAACACGTTAGCGACTTTATGGGAAACTCAACAAGATTAGTACAAAAGCCTCCATTTTCTCCTAAGAATTAGGCACTAATCTGCTTTGATGTACTAAAGCAGACAACACTTCACTAGTTCAGTGTGATTTTGGGGTTTTTTGGAGGAATTGTATTATGTTCTCAAATTAGAGCATCTGCTTCAACTAGACGAATTTGGTATACATAAAACAGACATTCTCACTTCACCAATTTAATCTCAAAAATTGAGTAAGAATACATTTCAAGACATTCTGGGGACCTGAAGTTTGAAATGTAGCATTAATAACAAAAAGTCTAGAAGGAAGTTTGATCTGAATGTTGCTGCCTAGCAGCAGGAACATCGAGTGGCTTTTGCTTACCCCTACAAGTCAAGCAAAGACATGGCGCAATTTTGAGCTATAAAACAGCTACTCACACAAGACTAACCGACTTCGTATTTGTTCAGATAGCAAGCGGCCCTAGTTCAATCCACAAAGATATATATAACTGACTGAAACCTACTTATATCTACTTCACATTCTCACAGGAAAGCAGAAGCAGATGACCCACAAGGTGGTCAAAGTAAGACTGAATGGTCCTCCAGGTCTCTGCCAAGCACATATTTGCATTAATTGCTGAAACAAGAAATAAAAGTTTTTTCTTTAACGTCTGCACACTAGAACAAACGATTCTTGATTTTTGGCTCCTGGGGAAGGGGGGAAAGAGAAAGAAGAAAGTTTCAACAAGAATTCCAAATCTTTAGGCTATTTTTAAACTGTTACACAGATTACTTTCAGGCATGCCCATATTTTTTTCCTCAAAAATTCTGCATTCGTTCCCCAGATTAGCCTTATACTCCTTTTTCCCCCAAGCAAACAAGGAAGCACGTTACCTTTAAATAAACATTATACAAGACAGTCTCACAGTACCTTCCAAATTATGAAGCTGTACCATCCTTTAAAGCAGTCAGCCAGAACTAACACTGGTAACACATCACTTCTCAAGACACTACATATGAATATTTCAACTGTACCCTCTTAGAGATTAGCCATGATCTCATCCAGAGAGGACAAGAACATATGGAATAAAGAAATCAGCAGCTGGTAGCTCCTCCAGTTGCTATCGAAGATACTGCTGCGGGGAAACTATGCAAAACAAGAAGTATTTTAAGAAGCCATCATATGGCTTATTATGTTACAGCTTAAGAAAATGAAGACCGAGAACTAAGGTTTTCAGAAGCTGGCCAAACACTAAGCTATGTTCTTGATTTCATGCAAAAGGCAGATGCTGAGGATTTTGCTACATCAGGACCAAAATCAATCTGCACTCAGCCCTTATGTGTTATAGCTGTACTAAAGGACTTGTAGGACTCCCAGCAGCTGATAACGAGTGCAGAAATCCCAGCCTCAGCTCCACATGGAGCCCTAAAAAGCTTCTGCACGTCCAACAGAGACACATGTTAAGGAATCCACATGCTTCAGAAACTCTAAGTGCACTGATCTAGCTGATTCTTTGAAATACATATTTTCTTAAATCTATACTTCACAGCACACCAAGAACTTTGCCTAGGCCAAGCCTGCTAAGCACAAAGTGGCCGCTATTTCACTAGCCCTGACGGATTACCACCAACCGCTGTCATTTTAAGCGCTGCCTTACAGGACTGCTGAAAGATTTACTTATGTTTCCAGGACTATCACATGCACTTTCCCCAAAGCCTCACCGACAGCAGCTGTGTAGGAAAAACGGAAGCTGAGTTTCATGACTAAACCCCGTATTGGCGAGGGCATGTGCGCACAGAGGAGAAGCAAGGCAACGTTCCAAGCATTAATCCACAAATTATACTAAAAACACCCCAAACCTTTGTTTTTCGCCCGCTGTTTTGCCAGCTCTCCCCCGAGCCCGCCCCGCACAG